AGAATTCGGGGTTGTCGGCTGACGGGTTTCTGGAAGCGGACGGATGGGGTGGGTGGTGGCGCGCGTGTGGGACGTGTGTACCTGGACGTTGGATTTAGGGGCTGTTGTTCCCCTTCGTCGTTGTCTCCGGTTGTTTTGTGCATTCATTTTGTACAGTACTGGTATATCTTTGGATTGAATCGGATTTGCCCAGATGCCCAGATGCTGTGTTGCTGATCGTCGTTTCGGAATCCTCGGATGTAGGTATTGAGTTTGTGCGCTTCGAGGGGTTTGTGAGGCGATGTACTTGGAGTGGATTGGGAATGAATTGCGAGATGAGAGTAGGAGTCGATCTGGAGGATCTGATCGGCATTGTTTCAAGTTTTCAGGGCTATCACGGGTAAGACGGAATTGTAGGTGAGTGAGACAAGGCCGTAAACGACCGTATACTGTGGTGAGCATGGAGATGGGCTTATGGATGCCTCCATGTGCTCGCTGCTATCCAGTCTTTGGCTGGATAATATCGATGCTGTTGGATCTCTCTTAAAGTCGACCCAGTTAGTTGATTTATCCGTTTGATGTAATTCATCAACTGTGTAGATTTGAAAAACTGGATCACGGGTGGGTGTTTCCTTCCTTCCAGCATCAACCACACACGCTGCTGCTGGCACATTCTGTTCGGACCAGAGATCTGCTTAATTAGTTACTCTATCAGGATGTTGAAATAGCACCGAGAACTCAGTTATATCGATCTGAAGAAGATGGGCAGGTATATGCGGGTATTGTATCCTGTGTCCAGTCATATCATCATCGAAGTTCGCTGCCCAGAGATGAACGTAGCGATCTGGCCGTCTGACTTCTCCTGTGTTTTACATGAGGGAGAATGTACTCTCCTCAAACTCACAATGCTCCAGTGTACGCACGAAGGATTTGTGTCATAGTACAGTGAACTACATTAGGGAAACCTCAAAACTACCACTCCCACATGATTGCAACATACAACCTTGAGGCCGCCCTCGGGTCATACATTGGATCGTTTTAGCGTTCTCTCTTGATCTCACTTGCGATACTCTCAACTCCCAATTATAGACTCAACCGGTAGCCTAGAATGTCAATGAGCCTCACGCGTATCAGTGTCTCAAGTTCACCACAAATCTAGTGGAGCCATATAGCTTTGCTCGCTATTATACCGATATCCTAACCATCTCCAGGGGGTATTCGATACAGGTCAGCTCGAGAGGTCAAGTATTCGTTTCAACCTGGCCGAAATCAGTACAAACCAGTGGTTCAGATAATCTAGCTCATGATCTCAAAACTTACTAGCAAATATTGTAGGTGTTGGTTGGCTTTGCACTAAGTGCGTAAAGTGAAATAACGATAACTAGGAATGCATTCTGTGTGGTGATTGTTCTGATTGATTTTCTTGCGAAGGAGAACTATGGAAGAGCTAGATATAGGAGGTCTGGTCTGAGCGCTGCTCGGACGCCGCGATCAGTGTGCCTGTCCGCGTGACTGATATCAGTGTGCCTGCTCGCGTGACCAAGATCAGTGCGGCCGATCGCATAGCTGAGATATCGTTGATATCTGTGATCCGACAGTAGGGTTGCTAACGGAAAACAAAAGAAATTACCCCCTTCAACCTGGAACCTGTTATCTGGTCGCGTTTTAGAGACAGATCCCCTGTGACGACCACATTTGCTACCATTCGCGATAATGATATGTTCTAATGACGCCCCTCTCTTAAGTGCCTGTAGAATCCTGTATCATCCTTCTCTAACTTATGTCTTCACAACAGAAAGTGACAACTCTTCGAGCACTGGCTGGTGAATTGGGTATCTTGGTCATGGATTATGGGGCCCAAAGGTCGTCAGGTGTAGGATAAGATGTGGCGGCCAAATACTATGTTTTTTTTCTAGTATAACGGATCTAACTACAGGATACTGAGAGAAAATTCTCAAATTTGCAATTAGTGGCGGAATTTACCTGTTGAGCTTCTTATGTATACATCGGCTCACTGTGTAAGCCTCATAGCCCTTGCCATGTTAATTGATTATTCGGTAGAGATCCGTTCTCCGGTCGGTGAGCCCAACACCGCACTTCTACGCGTCCCTAAGCATGTTCAGGAAGAAGCTTCGTGCATAAGAAGTGTAGTGATATGTGAGCACTTTTGACAATTCTACTCTCTACACAGCCATCCATCCCGGTTTGTGTCCAGCTATGAGTTACAACAAGGAGTTACGACAAGCTCACCAAGGTTAAGCCTTGCCTGATAATTAAGCAGATTTTCAATCTCTCCTTTCTTTAGGTTACTTTGTATTGTCAGCTCTAGCCTAATCTCCCCTGAGTTACTTGGTTGTTTGTTCGAAGTTTTGAATAGCTCGAGGTTATGAATCCGAATTTGCGGATTCGGTCGCTCGAAGGTGGCTGTACTGATTGGATTAGATCTATATTTAATTACGGTTTGTATATTTGCTGCTAACGCACTATGCTAGACTGTATTTTTGCCCTATATGTCCATATGTTCACAATATCAATAAATTCATAGTAGTAACGGAGACAGTAAAAAGAACTCAAAGAGAAGTGGCGTGGTATCTTCAGCTTAAATCATACGCACGGTCAAAATTACCACCATCTTCGACACGTGCACTTTTACTTATACACTCAGTCGTTCTTGCCGCATAATTTGCCAGACTACTGAATTTATGAAGTATCATGGTGATGTAAAGTGCGGATTAGCGGATAATAGTGGCACCTGGGTGTCATAAAATACTTGACGGTGTAGGTAAGCGCCTAATAGGCGTGTCTGGCGACCAGTGTCCTGTTTACACAAGGATGTCAAGTATTTTATGACATCTAGATGGTGGTATGACTATACCGATCGTTTTGACCAAGGGGATTGAGATGAGTCGGTCTTGGGGATGAAGTGTGAAGCACGGATCTAGCAAAAAGAGAAAATACGTTAGTTTGTATCGTTGGGAGAATTTGACCATGTAGTCTATGTATGCAATTTTGAAGCGAATCATCTAGAGAATACAGAAGGACATAGAATTTACCAAAATGGCTCAGAGTTAGCTAACGTCACCCACTCATCTCCTCCATCACTCCAATCTATCCAGACATCTTTTGGCACTATATGTAGCTGGCTAAATAAAAGTCTTCCAAAGTCGACATCAAAGGGATGGGGTTTGAAAGGCTCTCCAATTTTGCGAGCGTGTGCCATGAGGTCAATCTTATACATGCGCACAATCCTCGCCGCAGCCCGAACGAATAACTCTTTCTCCATGTCATCCTTCCATATGTCTTCTGTGAGCATCATGACCATGCGTGAGATCTTTGGGAAGTCTCGCAACACATTTGATAGACTGCCGTCTCGGAAACCGTTCAAGATCACTTTCGTAATGGCCACGTTTTGTAACATCTTGGCGTCACACCTAGTTGCAATACCAAAGTGAGACAGCAGTCCCACTTCTGGTGAGCAGTCATAGTGTTTAACGCGGGGGCCTTCTAGCTGAAGGAACAGTATATCGGTGTCGATACGGAAGTAGAACTCGTCACAGCTTGTACCCGTGACACTGGATGGAAGTTCTACGATGTGATTTGATTTAAGCGCTTGATAGCGAGCTTCCGCACGTGATTCGTGACAGAGGTTCACCATCAAAGGGGCAGGGCTAGGAGAGTATCGCGGGCAAAAGTGTTCTTCGTCATGGTCTTCATCGTGCGGCTTCGTTTCCAGCGCAACAAATCGAGGTGGCTCATTAAAGTAAGCAAGAGCCCAAATCTGGAGGCGGATCTCCTTGGGCAGCAACGACAGGGACATATCTGTTGAGGGCAAGAGTGCAGGTGATGGTTTGTTTTGGCGGTGGAGAGATTCCGGAATTCCGGGAGGCCTCGGAATTACCCTTTTCGGACGTCACATGATAGACGCGTTAGCGCGCAACCTTGTCGCCCCCAACTACAGACTTCTAGACATTACGAGTCCAGCCCACTCTGCTCCACCTTCTGCGGACGCCTTACTCCATATCGAACAGTATCCCACCGCCACGGTCAATGTGCTGGCCGCCAGTCTTTTCCGACGGGGGCTTTAGCGTGTGCTGAGGGTTTCCCAATTGAAACTACGAGAAATCCAAGTTCCATGGTCGAAGGGGGCGCGCATGGTCGAAGGGGGCGCGCATGGTCGAAGGGGGCGCGCATGGTCGAGACAGATAGAGGGACGTTGACTATGCGGGGTCGCCACGCAGGATGCCTCTCGAGCCGCGTCCTTCATGTGGCACAGCATGGGAGCGAGTCAGGACAAGATGGCAATACCTCTAATGGCATCGCGTCGAATATCCAAGTCTCTCGGCCATGATCAACAACTTGGCGTGATGGGTATTCGGACTGGATGCTTTGTACCCAAAGCTTCCGAGTTTGGGGCAACTCTCATAGATATACCGCCGACACGACGGGCACGGGGCGCCCTGCTATGGTCTGCACAGAGAGCCTCTTGAGGCTCTGGGTGGATTCGCTGCGGGTGTCCCACTGGAGTCCCACTGGAGAAATTTCGACGGCGCCCTTTCATGTGGAGCTGTTGGTCGAGCGACCCGCTGTATGTGAAGTCACACTGACATACACGCGGATGCTCTGCCGGGCGACAAGTCTAGTTTTGCCAGCAGTTGGGCTGATCGACGATTTGGAGACCGATCAACGGATTGCCTCTGGAGCTCGGAGGAGGCTGAAAGGTTTGAGGCTCCATGTGACAAGGCTGGGCGTCTTTGCCTGCGTGTTGTTGGCCGTGGAGCTGTTCCCCTCCCCCGCTTTAAAGCCAAAACCACCCCTCTTCGGCGTCATACCCGCACACCGCAGACTCCAGGCACGCGCCCAGATTCCGTCTGCAGCCGATCTATCACCGAAACCTCCGGCTCCTACGATGCTCTCGTTGCGATTCTCTCTCTACCACTTCACTTTCAACCCTTAACCTTATACACCATACTTCGGTGTACTTTGTTACGAGCACGTTTTGTCAGCGCGCCCTCGGCATATCTCCATCAGCGAAGCGCATTGCATTCGCACCTATCAACAACCTACACCCAACCCGTCGCAATCTAGACGTCCTCCAGCGCAAGCACTGCGAACAGCGCTTTCCGTCGCCTAATTCAATTGGCTTCATAAATTCTGGTTATATCCTCACATTACAGCTTAGTGAGCGAAACCAAACAATCAATACCTGCATCTGTCGCACTTGTTAGACGACTAAGACGGTGGACGGAAGAATTCCTGGCGCAATAATCGCAGTCACATACATCTTGAGATTCAACTAGAGAGCCTTCACAATGGCTACCCAAGACATCTCCGCGCATGGCTCGGAACCGCAACCAGTACCCAAGGAGGAGATCCAGGACGAGCCCACTGGACATCTAGACGAGGGCAAACTAAGACAGTTCTTCATTGGATCTATAGATCAAGGAACCACAAGTACTCGCTTCATCATCTTTGACGGCCTTGGTGAGCCTGTGGCGCAACACCAAATTGAGTTCACCCAGAAGTATCCCCAGTCCGGGTTAGTATTGTGAAACCCATACAATGATAATGTGTATTAATGAGTTTAGATGGCACGAACACGACCCTAAAGAGATTATTACCTCGGTAGAGCAATGCATCGACAGAGCGACGAACATCTTCCTAGACAATGGTCACGAGATCGAGGATATCAAGGCCATTGGTATTACCAACCAGCGTGAGACGACAGTCCTCTGGGACACCAACACCGGAGAACCCCTCTGTAATGCAATTGCCTGGTATGTACATTGTAGGCGAGACGTTTTATTGGGCTGCGGCTGACTCTATTCTGCTCGCCTCTAGGCCAGATACCAGAACCAAGGGATTGGTCCGCGAACTGAAGGGACGGCCGGGCGCCGATGAGCTGCAGAACATATGTGGGCTGCCGCTGTCGACGTACCCATCATCGGTGAAGCTTCGATGGATGCTTGACCATGACGAAAACGTCAGGAAGGCGTACGACGAAGGTCGCCTATCCTTTGGCACAATCGATACATGGATATTATACAACCTGAATGGTGGAAAGGAAGCCGGGATACATGTAACCGACTCCACTAACGCATCAAGAACCATGTTTGTGAATCTGTAGGTCACCCACACCCACTCCACCTTCTCACTTAAGCGAAAACGTTCGCTTATGCAATGCCAGGCACACCGTTCAGTACGATGACAAGCTCTTGGATTTCTTCGGGATTGACCGTAATAAGATTAAACTGCCGGAGATCGTGCCGTCATCCTCGCCAGACGCTTTTGGCAGGCTCAGATCCGGGATACTGGAAGGCGTTCGCATCGCAGGATGTTTAGGTGACCAGTCCTCTGCTTTGGTCGGCCAACAAGGGTTTACACCCGGTTCTGCGAAGAACACGTATGGTACCGGGTGCTTTTTGCTTTACAACGTGGGCGAGAAGCCTGTCATTTCTACTCATGGATTGCTGGCCACCATCGCGTATGACTTTGGTGGGAAGCGAAAACCGGTTTATGCATTGGAAGGCAGTATTGCGGTCGCAGGAAGTGGTGTCAAGTTCCTCATGAACAACATGGGCTTCATTACACATTCGCATAAGATCAGCGACCTGGCAGCCTCTGTCGAAGACAACGGTGGATGTGTCTTTGTGACAGCCTTTAGTGGTCTTTTCGCCCCCTACTGGATCGATGATGCCAAGGGCACTATATTTGGTATTACCCAGTTCACTGAGCGGGGTCACATCGCTCGCGCAACTCTGGAAGCGACTTGCTTCCAGACCAGGGCAATCTTGGATGCCATGGAGCTGGATAGTGGCCACAAGTTGAACATGCTTGCAGTCGACGGAGGCATGAGCAACTCAAACTTGTGCATGCAGGTACGTACATGCTGGTTATAAAGACATTCCAAGGGTTCACTTACTCACCATGTTCAATAGACACAAGCAAATATCATCGGCATTCCCGTAGATCGACCTGCCATGCGCGAGACTACCGCGTTGGGGGCAGCCATTGCAGCTGGATTCGCCGTCGGTGTATGGAAAGAGTTTGAAGAGCTAAAGGAAATTAATCAGAAAGACCGGATGGTGTTCAAGCCGAACGTTGGCAAAGAAGAGGGGGAGAAGATGTTCAAGAAATGGGGCAGGGTAAGTGGCAGCCATAAACTGACTACAAGTCAGACACATGAGCTAACCCAGATGATTGCAGGCGGTCGAGATGTGCCGTGGTTGGTTAGACGCCGGAGAAGCCAACGGAGAGTTCTCATAATTGGCACGTGCATTGAAAGTCGATATATCCGCAACTGGCTTCCTGTATTTTATCGGTTCCTTCGTACGAAGCAAAGAACTGATTGTAACAAAAACTGTGCACTTGACGATGAATGGGATCCGGTGATGAGTTCATGTTTCGGGCCGTTGGATCGTCGACACGAGTCCGGTGGCCATCGAGCGAGCCGTCTTACGCCCGGAGTAATGCCATGGATGTGCTGATAACCTTGAATTTCATAGTGTCAATTTTATGGCGACATGATCCACGACACACCAATACTGTGGTATTACCGCCGTTCTGGCAACGCGGGGCAATAATGCTGGACGTATGGTCTTTTTCAGTAGGTCAGCTTACCATATTCATAACCTTGATATGACATCCATGTTGCATGTTCAGCCTGAATATTATATGATTTTGCCCAACAGACTTTTGGTCACATACAGATTGTGTGAAAAGTGCAGTTGCGCACCAATGGCAGGTCGGACATGGGTCGCCAAGGTGTGGCATAGCACAAGGGTGGATGTATACAGCATTGCGATGCGGGCAGCGTCGGCTTCTAAGCTTTTGTCAGGCGGGATCGGGGAGCTTGGTGGGGAAATGTTCATGTTGCCGTTCTTGATCGGGGCTGTGGCACGTAGCAACCCTGACCGTATAGCCAGAGGGCTACTCGATCAAATGCTGACTCTCATGAAGTCTTACTGAAAGTGGATGGAATCGGAAAAGTTTCACTTCGTAACTTTGGTCCGTCGACCGTGGGAACCGGGTAATACGGATGACTGCGGTAACGGTGTATCGTGACGAAATTCCTGGCCTGAACAGGTCGGCTGCTCACAACCTCGCGTCTTGAACGAATGCCGGACAGGTAACTTAACCGATGACCAACGAACGATACGGAGCATGGATGGCGAGATGAGCTCTCACACTAGGGATCTCATCCTAGCACATGCTGTAAGCACTTGTAGGCCTTATTTGGGTACGAGAAAGCCATCCGGGATGAGTTCTGCGTTTGAATGCGCCACGACCTCCTACGAAGCTGGTGCAGTGTCGAGATTAATAAGGCCGTTTACGGTACACAGTCCGAAGCTCAGCCCCGGACCACCGTTCCTAGTGGTCAGCCACGCGTTGAAGCGGCCGACAGACAAAAGCCCTGCTCCTTCTGGGTTTGGAGACTCGTCGCAAAAAGTCCTCAATCGCTTCTGTCCGCGGACGCACTGTACCGGGTGCCTGGTCGACGTACGTGCGTATGCACATCTTACTGTGTAATCCCGGGCGAATTGCGACAATGCTGTTCCTTCCATGCAGCTTTGGCACAGCACGTTCCACGTTGGCGACAATCTACCCCACGAAGAGTCAGGCTGAGTCTCAAAAGGGTATTCCAGATGCTGCGCCAGTTCGGTAAAGCAGACGGCAGGTAGAGATGGGCTAAGCAAGTAAGGGTTGTGGACAAGACGGTCAGTGTGGTGGTAAGTCGACATCCGCATCCGGCAGGTCATGTGCATCAAAGCTGACAGCATTTGGACCATTACCTCGAAAGTCTACGCGGACACCTAGTCGCCTTGCGTGGAATACCGTTGGATACGAAGAGGTCGAGATGCGTATACCGTGGATTTTAATGCTTACGAGTCAAGACATCAGACCTTGTACTCCCCGGTGCTCAGGTCTCCGTATTCCACAACGGGTTAGACCAGGTCGCACAGCCGTGCTCATCGTACGCGGCACGGCTAGTGGTGATTGCGCAACATCTGACCTCCGAATGCCCTCGCTCGCGATATGCTCAGGTGTACTGGGGACGGGGAAGCGGGCCCAGAAGCATAATGGCCATACATCGGCGCCAGCGCCATGTCGCCGAAGCAGTCATGTCCAGTGTCCAGGGTGAAACAGGCGCCACGACACATAACAGCCGCTCCATTCCAGTCATGGGTACAACGTCATTAACATAATTCAAGTTTCCCTGCGACCTTTGTCGTGACCCACGGCAACTATGTAGAAGAAGGGTCACCCTAGGACTCAAAGCTTATACTTACCGTAGTCTCCCATGGTCCAGGATTTCCAACGGCTGCACCTCCCCACGCGCCGCCTGAACGTGGAACAGTGTCTGCAGATCAAACTGATCTGTGCACGTCTGGTAACTTTGTCTCTTAGTACACACTAGTTCGCGAGGCGATTTGGCGCGCGACCTGCGATGCTGCTATACCGTACATGTCCAACCATTCACCGACTGCCCATGTCTGTCCGCTGGCCATTTTACCCTGAGGGCACGACTAAGATTCTCACCCACGCAACCTCCCTACCCCCGGCTTGGTAAGACGATCCTATAGGCCCACTTGCCCTCAGCATTGGGCTGCAACCTTTCCTTCAAGGTTGTGGGAAGCGAATTGACTTCAAACATGGAGGTCCCCACCCAGCTCCATGGCGTGCAAAAGGCTCGACCACCCGCGGGCACCCGGTTCCGCTGAGCCCTCGAGGCCGCTACCATGATGCATGTCAACAGATGGACCATGTTGTATTGACATGGGCTGTGAAGGCTTGCATAGCTCCTACGGGTACCTGATCGCACCGACGTTTCCCTTGCTGCTCTGTCCGGTCGACTATATGTAACCAGGCGGACCGTCGCGCAGCTGCATCTAAGTAATCCAGACATTTCTAAAAAAGTACCAACCGCATCACACACTTGCCAACTAGTTCTATCTTTCCCATCCTCATAGGGCTTTAACTTGTCTTTCCACTCACACAACCTCTCCCATCACATCTTTTCCAAAGACCATGTGCGACTACACTCAAGTACAATATAAATGCACTCACGTCCGCTATGTTGTCAAAGCCTGGTGCACCAAATACCAACAAACACATGTACGGTGTCCAGCGAACGTCACAGCAGTGTAAGTCTTCATTCACATACGCAGTACAGTACTTCACACTAACATTCGGCACAGAGAATACAGACTCAACGAAAAATGCGGTTTGTTGCTCCACCATATACTGCATTGCATCATGATTACTAACAATACCCAAGGCGACTGTAGACATTAACCTTGGCCATTTCCTTGTCGTTACATTTCCTACAGTCATGATTGCGATATAGCACGGCGTACACGGCGGACAGCTGCATAATACCCCTTTTGGATTCCTCTCGGGCTCCATTGATTAGTCGAATATATCATCTCTCTTCTTACAAGCCCTCATCTCGTACCACATCTCTGCCGGCACCATTACGTTCCCTCCCGCGCTTGACCAAAAGTGCCGTGATCCAATTTCGGCAACCAAACTCGACCCAATGGAACCCTTCCAGCGACGATCTGCAACACCACGGAGAACCCTAAGTACGCAAATTTCAACAGTCGTCAATCAAGGTTCAGACGGTTTTGTGGTACTGCATTAGCCAAACCAAATTTTACGTGCCACGAGAATCTTACCGGACGGCAACAACTCCGGATCACTTGACGCAATCACCCGGGAAGAAGTGCCGCCGCATGTGGAACATCAACAAAACATGGTATGCATGTAAAATGTCAGCACTTCTTTTATCCCATTCAACCTCTTCAATCGAGCCTGGAGATATCCGATGATAACCCTGAGTTCGGGCCAAAACATAAGTCCGGGCCGACGGCACTATGTCGGCATCACCATCACGGGCCTAATCCTTTATTCCTGTCTCAGTCCTACCTCTCCAGAACCCACACAGTACCTGTCTCGGATTATCTTTCGGATTCGGATTCTGCAAATGACGCACTGAATACGCATTGGAAGTTATGTGTCGCAGCGCCGTTCGGAACATCTGCTTTTGGGGGCTTGATATATGCCTCCCTCCCCGCAGGCCAGAACGTTAGATGCAGCTACATGAGGCTTATGCAAGTCACCGGATTGGTGTGCGGAACGAAGCCTCAGGAGCATCATAAAAGCAGCCGTTTGGCCCTTAATACGGGTCGCTAATTATGCCGTCCAGCCAATCACGAAATTCAGTCCGCCAGTCCGCCAAAGCACGGTCCTCTCAAGGTGCTTATGCCAACAGTAATTTTACTCCAGATCGACAGGTCGAATGAAACCACGGCCCATACACACACGAATTACCGTATCTATGTATAGCTCCATGTATGTCGCAATTGCTTCTGGCGATCCTCCTTATAAGGCCTCGATGCTTTACTGGTATCAAGAGCGAGCAGTCATCCCGATTCATCCTTCCATGATCACTCGATCTGCTTAAGCGACACATGGGCCATGTTTTACGACGTCGAAACTACCGGTAGGTGTCACAACTCGGATTCAACTGCCACATTGCCACATTGCGTCAGTAGCTTCAACTGGCCACTTGTGGGCTTCGCGAAGGTCATCATCAGTACCCGACAACCCTTTCAAGCTACCCGCATATCGGGAGACTCCGGTCAGTCACCAGCGCAAGCGTGGCTCCAGTCCCGTTTCGTCAGACTAGACTTTGTGGCTCTCCACGTGGTACGCGAGATGTACTGTGTCGACGGTGGGGCCTTGGTAGTACTTGCCGTTACGAAATGGTGGTCCACACGTTTCAGCTGAAGCTGGAAATAAGAACAGTGCAACAACTGGAGATCACTTGCAACGCAACGGAAGTCTTCTGGAATGAGTCTGTCGATCATATGCGTGCTATCAGGACCGCGCTGAGGATATGGATCTGCGGTACTGACTCGTCACACGCCCAAGTGGTGAGGCAAAGAGGAATACGGCGTAGCATGTGGAAATTGCCGTGGGACTGAATGAACTTGAAACGTAGAGCCCAACAACTTGAATGAGAAAATTATCAGGTGCATGTTCACACGATAGTAGCTTGCTTACTGAATGAGGCCGCCCCGAGCCGAGCGAATTGATATCGTGAACCAACGACGTGCATGGGTAGCCGAGGGACCGAGCCCTACAACCACCCCACCGCCACAAAACTTCATCAAAAACTTGCAGTCGCCTGATAGGAGTATTCACGACAAGGGTGGCGAGGCAGATGGAGCGTAACACCAGGCTCCGCCAACATTCCTGTAGGTTTTGTCATAATCCAGCGGCTGCGGATAGGGTCCCGATCCAATCATGGGATGAGATGTGAAACCAATATACAAGCGACAGGTGGGCTCTATCATTGCAACCCAACAATGCTTCCCAAGGTTTCTCATGTCGAGTCCAAGGTACAGTAATGGCGGTGCATTGCCATCGGTGATGCCGGATGCATGTTTCCGGCATCGTATACAGCCGTCTACAAGTTGTGTCGTGGGCAGACGAGCTGTTTTGAGTTTGCTTTCCCGTGTTTCCGCGGCCGCACCAATCCAAATGTGAGCTGGGCATGGGGCACGAAGAGCTCGAACTTGAGCTTTTCCTGGCAACGATTGCAAAATGACAAGTGACCGTTGGCGACCCGATGACGCACCCATGGAGCCGTAGCGCAATGGCGCACGGTGGCTTCCTCGCAAGGACGTACATAGATGCGTCGCGTGGATAAACTTCCGGTATTGGTACTGGAACCCAATTACCTCCTACTTGGCGAAGCATCTCACCAAGATTATTGCTGGGTGGTGGAGAAAAGCTCTGTATGAACATGGATCCAGGCGTTCAACAAATGGTACGATATCCCAAACCGCATGTGCATGCAGGTGCCTGGGTGTGCAGTCATTTTATCTGCGACCGCCTATCAGCGACATAGGCGAGCAGGCCGGGGAGCACATCTATAGTGGTGACTATCGCCGTGTGCATCAACAGCTGTTCGACTCAGCGCTGGGTATGGTGGTGTAATTTTGGACACATCACTCTGTGCTAACCTTGACAGGAATTCAATACCATATGGAACGTCTCCGCGACATCCGCTAGGTTGGCTGATCATACCGTGCTTCGAGTCTTCCGTTGAACCTCCACCGGCTCTTTCTCTTCATATCCACGCCACGATATCAGGAAATCTCTCTTCAATTGCAACAAGCTGTGACAAGTCTCAGCGAGCTGTTAACCGAAAGGTAGCATGACGGCATTTACGATATGAGTGGCCACTGCTGTACTATGATCACATCCAATGTCTGTAACGCACAATGAGGCTTACGATTGTCACGACGTCGACTGACAGCTGACACGCGGTCGAAAACGATCGTGTTTCGTACCCAGATGCCTGAGGATCCGCATTGGTGGCCTAGCCGGCACGGGCCGAGCTGTCAGAAGAAATGTGAGCAGCGCAAGGTTACTAGGTAGCTATAGTTGCTGCGAGCTGGGAGACCATGTACGGCCCGATCAACATATGTCTTAACGGAGTTAACTCTGAGCTTTGCCTAGCCGGACCTTTTGTCAGCAACAAGGACTCGACGCCCTCTTCACAAACTGTAAACCTCATACATAACTGTTCCTTCCGAATGACTAGACTGGGGTCTTTGTGGCTTTCAGTGAGCTGGCTATACCGGCTTTGGACAGCTGGACCAGCGGCATCGCATTGTTTTCCCCTCTTTATAAACCTTGGTCTCTCGGGCAAACTTTTTTCATACGGTGTGTACAACACGCACGTTCAACGCGCCTTTCGAATCCGACTCGGTCTCAGTAACATCGCACCGACTGCCACGTTGAGCATTTACACTAGGAACAGGGTTGCTGTGGCAGGCACGGAGCAAAGTCCGCTCCGCTGTCGACACGCTGTGGCACATAAGTAGTCAGCCTTTCCCTGGTATGATCTGAGACGCAGGTCGAACCTACAGCAATGACGTGCAGGACGTACAAGAGCTAGTCGTTGATCATCTCGGAACTTTTTGATCGTGTTGTGTGGAGACGCATCGTCGATGCATAACGAATATGAAATATGTTTGTGCTTTGTTGGCATACCTTTTCTGGACCGAAGCGCATGTACACCAAGCCCCAAAGGCTCACAAGGGCTTCCTCCTTTTTGCAATTTGCATCCCGAACACGGATCCTCACAGCCCCCGTTACGAGGCTCCGGGCCTTCTTCGGTAGCACGTCTCTGCTGCCGGATTCCCCGCAGACAGCATGCTTGACTTCCCATCAACCCCAAATTTGGGGACAAAAAGTACTTTCACCGCCGGATACCCGCGGGTACGGAATGTCTGGTTGTAGACATCCGATGATGTGACTAGTCAAGCATGGTAGTTGGTCTGCGAGGGGGCCTGTCCAATGTTTCGTACGGGCCAGCCGTAAGGTCGACATGTCGGATTCGAGGCAAGACTTGCGAAAAGCCCATCGAAAGACCATGGCAACACCACACCACTATACACGCACGTTTAAAGTATCCTTCTACAAGGGTCAACCTGTCCACCCACATGCCGTTAGGCTGGACGCTGCAAGTGCCGCAAGACCGAAACCAAGAGGGTGGCTGCGCACCACATCCGCCCTTTAGCACAGTTTCATGAGCCGCGACTGCGACCCAAATGCAGGCACGAGGCTGATGACGAGGCTCGATTCGAGCCTACGGCAACTTCCTGAGCGTCCAAACTCGTAACTTTGGTACTAAACCAGTCTTACCGGAAGCTATGGGCAGAGTGAATGCCACTTTTGCCGGAAACGGACATGTGCTGATCTCAAGGCCAGATGTTTGGGATCAACGGCTTGGCTGGGCGGTGCATCGATTGAAAAAGATGGCCCAATACGAAAAGGAGAGGGTGATGATCTGCGCCGTGGGGTTGTGGGGTAGGTTAGGTATCAGCTTAGCCCTGTTCAGTGGGGTGCTCATCGTCTGATGGTTTAGGGTCCTCTGATGGGCGTTCCTGTTCATCCGCTTCCTCCGGGCAGATGTATTCGACCTGCTCTCGGATGTATCGAGCCTGCAGGCCGAAACTGCGACTTGGCCGACGAGATTTTCACCGCTCCTTTTCATAGATGCTCGTGACCAGGTTAATGATGCCCGGTCCTGGAGCTGCATGGGCTGAAAGTGTCTTACGAGTCTGTCAGACAGCTTTCTTCCCTTCTGCAAGTCAACAGGCGGGGCCCTGCAAGACAAACTGTATCGTCTCACGATAATATCCAGTCATCTTTCTTAGCGAATGTTCCTGGTCGAAAGCACACCATCTTCATGTTTGTCAGATCTTACAAACGTGGTCCAATGATCATCATATGTGATCATGTCGGTGACAAACCTCAACATATTGAAATATTGTATGACCGGATTCTGTCGGCTGATGATGGTCGTGGTCGCTGACGTGGTTGGTAATGCTTTACTAATCTATTGCGTGAGCGGAGTCTTGCAGGCAGTGGGGGCTGGAGCCATGTTGGTGACATGTCGACGTGAGATGTGAGACGTGACAAGGTAATGTATGGTTTGTGTCTAGGTGATCATGATATAATGGTGTTGAAAACTCTCCACTAGCAGTCGTAGTGAGCCCTCATACTCTCTCAGTCACAGATGACTGCTTGGTGTGTAGGCGTTACCAATCATTCAGATCTGTTGACGGAGATACCATGTGTAGCGGAGGTTTCTACCACTGGATATGTGTACTTCCTCTAAGGCTTGTACTGGTACCAGCTATGACGGATCGAAGGAAACGATCTAGGAAGAAACTACTCATGGAAGGAGCCGAGAAAACGTGTACACAGTACAACGGTAGTCTTCGACGTCAGTGACCAAGATGCTGTATCAAAGCGTTGGAAAGGTATGACATATCTTCTCCATCGGCGCCGTAGAAGGGCTTGAAATAGATAGTCTCGTAACAGCCTTTCATTCCCGAACCCAATCGTACGATGGCTACTTGCCGCCCCAGAACAACGGAGAGTTTTGGACGATATGAGATGAGAAGCAAGGCGGACGTTTCGAAAGTAGTTCTGGTGTATTTCGAAAAAATTACATATGCTTCCGATCCACGTGCTATCCCACTTAGACGTTATTGGGGATATGTTTCAGGTGGCGATAGTGTTTGCCGGACTGATAGTACAGTTTAGCACGTGGTCAAATAGCAGCACGTGGTGACATGACAGAGCTATACAAGGCTGTGCCCGCCCGCATGGTGACTCGGACAGACACAGTTCAACAGGTTAATTCCAGAAACACCGGACATGCGGTACATGACTGCGGATATGGTTTGGGCGCATGAGTCGACAAGATGGAGCCAGGAGAAGGTGATGGAGCGGTGCGTTGCTGTGATTGGCCAATGCGTGCTCCCATCCCGAAGCGAATTCAGGAATAGGTAACTCTGGCCGGTGAACTCCCCTTGCGCTCGGCATATCCAACATGTCGTCTACAAGCGATATACCCACACCCGACAATGGCTTTTATGTTCTTGTTACCGGAGCCAACAGGTCTGCTATTCAATTTCATTCTCATGATACTCAACTGACCATCCTCACAGTGGCCTTGGGCTTGGTATCGGAACCCGCCTGATTGACGAATTCCTGCAAACCCGCCCCCAGTCCGAATCGCTTGTCCTCATCATCACGACGCGTGACCAACGGAAAGGCGACGCGACGATCGCAAAATTAGAACAACACCTGTGCAAGGTCGTCCGTGGCCATGAGGAGAAGCTACCTGGCATTGCACAGGTGCTACAGAACCGTGTGTACTTTCGGCAGGAGCGGTTAGATCTGCTGAGTCTTGTGTCGGTGCAGAAGCTCAGCAAGAAACTGCGAGAGACGACGCCAAAACTCGACGTCGTCATCTGCAATGCCGGCATAGGCGGATGGACCGGCATCAATTGGCCGAGTGCGGTGTGGACAATTCTCACAACTTGGAACAGAGCGCTTACTTGGCCTACGTTCAAGATATCCGGGAAAGGATGGGTAACAAAACCTCAGATACCCGAAGACAAGAAGGTGGAAGACGAACCTCCTCTAGGGGAGGTCTTTTGCGCCAATGTCTTCGGGCACTATCTGCTAGGACACTACCTCGCACCGCTGCTGGCAAGACATGCGGCGAGTGAGAAGACAAGAGGTCGGTTGATCTGGGTCAGCAGTCTGGAAGCATACGACCATGTGTTCGACCTAGACGACATGCAGGGCATCTTGTCTGACATGCCTTACGAGGTCACGAAGCGCATCACAGATGTACTGGCAATCACGTCTACGCTTCCTTCAACTTCCCCTGAGGTCAATCGATATCTCGACCATTCAGAGGATTCAGCAAAGACTACGAAACCGCGCCTCTACGTTACGCATCCCGGCATCTGTGGGACCTCCATCATGGCCCTCCCCGTCATCCTTGAATACTGTATGCTCATCGCCTTCTACATTGCGCGTTTTCTCGGCAGCCAATGGCACACAGTCACGCCGGAGAAAGGTGCGACTGCAATGGTGTGGTTGGCCCTCGCAGACCAAACTACACTAGATAACATGGAGGCAAAAGAAGGCGTTGGGAAGTGGGGCAGCGCCACAGATGCTTGGGGTCGGGAACGTGTGGACAGGACTGAGATAGCTGGATGGGGATGGGGAGGGAAGTTGGGAGAATACAAGAGGAAAGGCAGGGACCCATTCGCAAAAGACCTCACCAAGGAGAGCCAGGAGAAGTTTGTGGATACAGGGCGAAAATGTTGGGAGGAAATGGAGAAGTTGCGCATTGAGTGGGAGGGCCGACTACGGAGAGCCGGAGTGGCGGTTGAGATGGATGAGTGATAGCCGCCTTAATATTGGAAGCCCGACGCCATTGTACTTTTTGTAATACTTGATTATCTATGAAACCTTGGTCTCGTCGGCTTGGATCCATAGCAGCACGACGGACACCAGACATATCGATTACATGGCGAGATTACCCCGCTTTGTTGCGCTCATGGCATGATGGCGGGCAAGCCACGGTCAGATTCAGGTAGCAGACACAGAAAAGATGACGAGTTGAGGGATTGTACCGACGTGGGCCCGAACGATCAGCCCTCGGAGAATAGTCCGAGCAGTGTGGTGGATCATGGCAGATCAGAGCCTCGGCATGCAAGTCTTCACGAGGGCCAAGGGCGGGTCGCAGAAAGGGCTCACGATGGATGCTTGAATCTAGATGTGTTTGCAGGGAGAAGGGTTTATATATGAGATGGGAAATCGGCAATCTCATAGGGCTGGGATCGGGCTGTTGTCGCGGACCATGTCATCAAACATCACCTCGGCGACGGAGGGCTAAGCACACCATTCTCCTAGACGACGGAGAAGTACTGAGGTCACTGCGCAGGAACGGGCGACGCGACTGCGACTACGGTTGACTCGGACTCTGGGTGGCGACGGTGCGGGCGCGCCAGTTGCTTCTTAGTTGTCTGCACGAAGCGACTGAGGGCAGAAACGGCCTTGTGGGCGTTGGCAGTCGTTCGCACGACGGCCGTAATCCTCATCGTCTCGTTCGTCATGTCTCTCATCACGACAAGGATGCGTCATGCACGCATCCCAGACTCTGCACCCTCAAGACAAGGGACTCACTGGGCCCGCAGCGCCCTCAGGCACGCACGCAGCGAATAGGATGAGTTGACGGCATGCAGCCCGGCGTGCTGGGTCGCGCCGGCCAAGGGCTCCCGCTGCGTGCCCCTTCTCGCTTGCCTATACTGGGGAAAGGCCTGGCTTCTCTAGTTGGTGCCCGACGCCGTTGATGGTCCTCTCTCATCCCCTAGACAATTTGCCCTCTTCGCCGCAGTACACAACCCACAAAGCCCTTGTTCGCCCTGCTCCAAGCCGACCTCTCTCTTGACAACCCGGTACCGGTGCACGCGCATAACAAAAAGCCAAGTTAGTTGCATATCAACGCTGCCCCAGTGACGTGTATTTCACTACTTTCACCGCTCCGCTTCACCAAACAAACGTCATAACATACACACAACGTGCGCGCTAGCAGTTTGACGATAGACTGCTCCCTAGGCGCAATCAATGGACCCCAAGAACGACCCGCTCTCGAGCGACTTCCCCCCTGTCTTCGCACGCGACGCCGACATCCAAGCGTCCTCGCCCTCGATTACTATCGCATAAAGCGTCTAAACATTGCTTACACAGTGGAAAAGTGTACCATGTGTACATAGCCGGGCCTCTACAATTACTTGTCAAACGAAGACACAAACAAAGGACTGTCCCAAAGAACCAGAGAACACCTCTGAATCCACCATTTATAAATCCCACCACTTCATACCACACCAAACATATTTCTTCAACCACACAACACCATGTCGACCACATCATCTCGTACTTCCTCACGTGGGTACCCCCCACGACCCTCTACACCTGATCAGACAGGCCGCACATTGGAACGGTCAGGCTCTTATGCTGTTGCGCCCAAGTCCGAGTACCTACGAAATGCTCTCCAGGCACGGAGAGCCCACCACACACCCACATCTTCCCTCCAAAATACACAACCACCACCCCCACCTGCTTCGAAGCCCGCAGAAATCAAGACTCCTAGAAGATCGCCCGATGTCTTTGCTGAGTTTGCTCTGTCCGAAGAACAACAAACACCTGTTTCACCCATCCGACGACGGAGGACGAGCGATGTTACAATGGGAATCCCGCGCTCCAAGACAACCCGAGAACTCCAAAATGAGCTTGACAAACTAAAGGAAAAGCTCATGACCTCAAGCCTGCGGGTCGAGCTGCTCAGGAGCAGTAACAAAGAACTGCAGCAAAACCTGGCATCGGCAAAGGAACAAATAGAACGGCTGGAACCATTGGAGGACGAGAACTATGATCTTCGTGCCGAGAACCAACAGCTGAAGCTCAAAGTCGAAAACATGGACGACGAAATCGCAAGACTCAAAGACAGCAACGAGGACCATCGCAAGACCAACGAGGAGCTCACTGCTATAGCAAGCGAGAGCGCCGCGCATTGGGAAGCCCATGAATTCGCCATTGAAGAAGCTGCCGAGTGCATCATCAAGATGGAGGAGGAGAAGGCCGTGCTGACCAGGGAGCTTCAGGAGCTCAAGGACCGAGTTATAGCATTGGAGAGCACCTCTTCTGGCAGCGCGCTTGTCGATGGCCCCGCCAAGTACCCGTCGCGCGTCTATAGCGTCGACGAATCAAGGCCTTCTACTAGCCACTTCGACTCGGACTACTACAGCCAGCCATCGTCACCGCAAGCCAAGCCCAGCATCGAATCAGTCACATCCTTTACACCCTCTGAATTGTCGAAAAAGTTTCTCGACTTGAAAGAGGAACGTCGAAGATCTACCCGTGATCTCGTAAATCGCATGTCAGCGGTATCCCTGAGAGCACTTCGCGAAGCATCCCCGTCCCCTGCTCCAGAAGTCCCCCAGATCCCTGAAGCATACCAGCAACCAATACCGAAATTTGTCCAAAATGATAGGTCGGAAACACCCCGCGCCAATCCTGTGCAGTATCGCAAAGATCTTGAAATGCTTCCTCCGCCATTGATGGAAGCTGCACCGATAGCTTCTCCAGTTCGACCACACACAGTAGCTCCACAGGCACCGGCGCCCCAACCAGATGGGCTGCGCGGCTTGTACCGACCTGAGAGGCGTTCTAGCAACAGGGCGTCAAACGACGTTCGTCCATCATCGATGGTCGTCACATCCACGAATTCAGGTAGTCTGGGATATCGCCACCACTATGCGGAACCATCGGCGCATAGCCTCTCACGATCCAGCAGCAACCATACAGGCACGAATAGTTCGAACGAGCGACTACGCACACTACGCCACCGGAAATCCTCGGCTAGCATGAGAACCCCTACATCTGCAGCATCTTCAGAGTGGGAGATCCTAGCCTCCAACAACTCCCCTCCTGTCTCTGTGTCATCTCAAGCTGATCTAACCACTGAGGTAGACCCGCTCGCAGACAAAGACAGGTGGTGGCGCAGCATCGATCATCTGACACTTTCTCAAGTAAATGCCCAAGCCCACCAACATTTGTATAGCGGACAGCTATCTAACACGCCACCAGACATCGACCAGCCTCGCAAGCTCAACCCTATCACATCGCGCGATTCGATGAAGAACAGCCCGCAGAGAAGCAAGACGGCAACGCCCTCGAATACTCGTGTGACATATGAGAAAGACTTTTTGTTCAACGCGGCAGAAAGCGAAGAAGACTTTATGCGCAAGGCTCGCAATGCGATGCCTAAGCGGAAGCCATAGGTGGCGTTGTAATGCTAATGATGATGGTACGAACGAAGCGATCTTTTTCCTTTGGTACAGTGCGATACTTGGCAGTCAAGTCCTCGTTTTGTTTTTTGCGTCGGCGCTGTGGTGGTACATTTGAACGATTCACAGATCTGGCGCTGTTTCTTATGGGTTACATGTACTCCGCAAGGAGAAGAAGAAGGTGATGATGATCATAACGGTCGTCTTGATTGAAGCGTGGGCGGTCGGTCGGTTCATTGACCAGCTCTGTTTTTGGCACTGTAGCAAATTAGCAGAATCACCTACGTCCCTCTTACTAAGTAGAGCGGAGTGTGTGGTGTGTACATATATATGTGTGTACTATTAGCATCGTAATTCTTAATTCAGCAATCTCAAGCTTGAGCAAACAAAGACAATTATCTGTGGTAAAGACAGCCAGCATGAAATTGATGTATAGCTAGCCAAATCGGCCATGTAAACGTTACTGTATCGAAAACCGATGTTCTCTTCCAGTCGTACACGTGCTGCCAATCGCAACATGTGGCACCTCCGACATGCGCCCCACTTCTGTGCGCTCAACCCCAAACGTACGCAGCGCACATGCCAGCTTCCCCAGCTCCGTCATCAAACATTACACATGTCCACAAGGGAGCCTGCCAACTAACTAACCAACCCACCAACTAACCCCCATCCCTGGTTTTCCTCTCCTCCTCGCTATGCACGTTGCTCCCAGCATCGTCCACTCTGCCCAGTCTCTCGCCCTTGTTCTTCCCCAGTCGCAGCTGCTCGTCCTCCTCCAACGATGATATCCTCGGGCTTCACAAACGCGCCCGTATCGCAATTCCTCGTTTTTGGCACCGTCATTGGCGCGCTGCTGGCGTCGGTGACGGATACGCGGTATTATTTGCATATTCAGGTTGTGCCGCATATATGGGGGTATGGGCAGTTTTGGAGGTTTTTGGCGTGGCAGGTACGTTGTTTGAAGGTGGTGGAGAGAGTGGTGTTGTTGTGTGTGTGTAAGAGGGAGGGGAGGAGGAGAGGGCTTGCGGGGGATTGTTGCTAATGTGGATATAGGCCAGTTTTACAAATTCGACTGAAGTGCTGTTTGCGGCGTTGACGTTTTATCAATTACGTGTTGTAGAGCGGTTGTGGGGGAGTAGGAAGTTTGCTGTAAGTATGAGATGGTTGCTGCATGCCAACTCCCACCCTACTCTTATTTACTTTTCCATACATGTGAAGATGATAATCTGGTATAGACAGCGAAAAGCTAGCTAACACATCAATTCGCAGTCATTCCTCCTAGCAACACTCCCATATACGACACTCCTACCCCCTCTCCTCCTAACCTTCATCCTCCGACCCCTCTCCCTCGGCCGCCTAAACTACCTCCCCGCAGGCCCAACACCCATCCTCTTCGCCCTCCTCGCAAACTACTACGCCGCGGTCCCATACACATATCGCTATAAAATCTCGCCTTGGGCTGCCTCCTCCTCCACGCCGTCTACCACCTCTTCATCATCACAACAACAAAACACGCGCCAAACACCGACCCCCACAGCCCTCTGGTCTCGCAGCTTAACCCTCACAAGCAAAAGCCTATCCTACCTACCCCCTTTACAACTCGCCCTCTCCCAGTTTCCTGGCTCGCTGCTCGCGGCAGCCGTAGGCTGGGGCGTGGGAACCGCGTATCGCCGGGAGCTGCTTCCTGGTGCGACGAGGTGGCGTGTGCCGGGGTGGATGGTGGGAGAGGAGAAGAAGGGTGGGTTTGAGGGGCTGAGGGCTAGACTGGGATGCTGAGAGGGAGAGGGAAGGTGGTGGGTCGGGGCTGGCGACGGGTATACTGGCGGGGGAGACGGGCGGGCAGGAGGCGAGGCAGAGGAGGACGTTGGGGGATATGGTGGCAGAGCAGTTTAGGGGGAGGGGGTAAATGACTTGAAATTGGAATGAGAAGGAGATACTGATGGTGATGAGTGATATTGGCGGTATGACACTGTTGGTATGATTCTAATTGTATAGTATTACTTACTATGGTATTTTTTCTCTTTTGCCAATGTATGCGTTTTTGGTACGTCACAAGCCACAGAGGAGATCAAGATTGATTTCTGAACTCATCCTTATATCTGGGATATGTAAAAGCATGCACGAATCGACAAGTTCATTTAGACCATGTCAGTCGATTATCATATCATAAAACCGAACAGCTTGATTGAAAATCTCACGCATAATTGCAGAAATACCCTCCCGCATATATACAACCAACTTATCCAGAAAAACGCAGCAATCACTCATCATCATGACAAATATCTAAATCGAAAAGGGCACCATCGTCTGACCCAACATTCTCCAAGCCAGATCAGATCATTTATTTCTCACCCCTGTCATCACTGCGGGCAGCAGTCTTCTTCTTCTCCGCCGCTGCCTTCTCATGCTGTGCGAGCTTCTCCTCGGACGAGCCCTCGCCCTTGAACACCTTTGCGCGATCAATCGAGCCAGGGATATGTTCGGGCAGCTCGCTGCGGCCGATAAGGGTAAGCACGATACTAGCGCCTACGATAGACGTGAGCACGAAGCGGTACACGGCGTACCAATCGGGAGTCCAGCCACGGTATGCAGCACCTATTCGTCTCAAGTCAGTTTAAACTGTTGAATAAAAGGAGATGAGGGTGAGGAGGGAAAAGGAAAAGCAACGTACGAGTATCAACATAATACAATCCCAAAAAACCCATGAATTGACCAATCAACGCACCCTCCACCGGCATCAAAAGCGTCGACCACGCCACCATGGGCGCCACAACACCAATCGCATACCGCTTATACCCCTGCGCGCCACCATATCCCGCCCACTCGAGCCCCCAGTGGATAGCGCCCAGGAAACTGAGGATCGAAGCCCCGTACCCGATCTGCAGCGGCTCGATCATGTGGAGCAGGTACGTGGCGTTTGCCTCTGAGAAGAGCATGCCGTAGCCGGCGGTCGAGTGGTTGAGCTCCCAGGAGAGGTAGACGGTTGAGAGCGAGGTTGCGAGGTATGGCAGTGTGCCGGCGAGGCCCATGTAGTAGGCTTCGCGGGGGACGTTTGCGAGGGAGAAGGTTTGTTTGATTGTTCCCTGTTGTGGATGTTAGCCCTTTGTCTTCTAAATTTCCCAGCTTTTTTTTGGCTGTCGTCTACGGGGGAAAGTTGGCAAGATGGATATATACATACAACATCATGTTTAATCTCCGCCGTCATATCCACCTCTTTGGCCGGCGCCTCAGCCCCAACTTCGGAAAACATGGGATGCGTCGAACTCGAGCTCGACACCGTCTCAGGCGTCGGTTTGATCTTTTCGTGCGCATACCGGCTCTCGGCTTGCTTCTGCCCCTCGCTCAGCTTCTTGTCTGCTAGACTCCGGCGTAGAAGCGCTGACGGTGTCGTCTGCGCTGCTAACTGCGGTCTTCGTCCCGCTGCTGCCGCAAGCGACCCAAACTGTGTTGACCATTGCAGACATGGCGCCGCCGTTGTTGTTGTCGTCTTGCGAGCACCAGCCGTGCGCGGTGCTGCCGCTAGGGATCTGAGCGCGAGGCGCGAGACTCCGTTGCGAAGAAGCATACTTAGCTCAATCAACGTTTCTGACGTTGTCCGTAGTGTACTTGTGAACTTAGATGGAGAGGGCGAGAACAGTAAAAAAAAAGCAGAGGATATGAGCAAAAGTAAAAAGCAGAGAAGCTGGGTATCAACGTGAAGAGGAAAAGAAGAGTTTCGTCAGATAACAAATGTCGATTTACGATTACGCCTACAGCTTATTTCCTCTTGTCCCCGCAACTTGACGCGCGAAGCCGGCCGTTTTTGCGCAACGCCAGACTGACGTCACAGTACGATGGTCGCGGCTACATCACTCTGCGCCGGCCAGGCTTCGGCATCGACAACATTTTTTGGGGCCATGCCGCGAATCCCTGCGAAACAGGTGGGTCGCAACGGTGCCGTGAAGCCGAGAGAAATAATAACCCGGTTTACTGCAGTACGTACCATGATGAGACAATGGCTTTCGACCATTTGTGCACAATCGATCAAACTGGACGAGTTGGTGGCGTTTAACTTGGTGTACGACTTTCAATTTCCACCTAGAAGTAACTCTGCTATCGCTATCAGGACAAAAGAATAGAGAAATACACATTACAACAATGAACAAAACCCGAACCAAGCCATGTCGTATACTCATGTGCTCATTAGCCATTCTCGTCGTGTTTTACCATCTCTCTGCCGTTGACCTTATCAACCTTTGGCATTCCACCGATCGTTATACGCATTAACACCCACAGCCACCTGTCGATAGAACCAATTCCTGCTGCCTTCGTCGCTGACGGGGATGAATGGCCCATTTGTACCTCCCTTGAGCGTGATACCCAGTCCAGTTCTTTCCTTGCTGATAGTCTGTACGTCCTTGAGTGGAACGTCCCATTCCGTCTGTAGCTTTTTGGTTCGCACCATCATGAGGCCGTTGTACGTGAGCATGACGAGCATCTCCTTGTTCTGAAGTTCCAGATGCGCAATGTAGTCTTCGTTGAAGTACTTGCCGTTATCAAGTGTCTTCAACCAGAACTGACCGAGCGCTTCGCGTTGAGAGTATGGTCGCACGATTCCGTCTGTGCCGATGAAGCGCGTTAGGCGTACACGGTCGAGACCTTCTTGGTCAAAGACGGTTGTGGTGTTGCGGACGCCTTCTGCCATATTGGAGGCGAGATCAAAGGCACCAATTGCAGCCTTAGTAGGTACACCAAGCAGACCTTTGCCGACTCCTTTGACAAATCCGAGAGCGCCTTCCTTCTCCGCACCTTGGATAGGATGACGGGCTAGGCCGCCGAGACCGCTGGCAAGACTGCTGGCGAAGGCGTTACCACCTGATGTGATGCCGTACAAGGCATGCTTGGGCCTGTTGCGCGAACGTGACATGCGGCGCGAATCCTGGAACTCTTTGTCGAGAGTTGCGGCAGACAAGCCCTTGGACATACTGCCAGTAAACTTCGCCATACTGTCTGAGAAGCCAAACACCGATTTCTTGACGAAGCTGGATGCACCCTTGGCGATACCAATACCAAGGTCTTCCGGTCGGTCAGACTTGACAAGACCCTGGTATGGCTCGTAGAAGATGTCGGCAACACCCGAACTGATGTTATTGAAGAGACCCACTGGATTTCCCAGGAAGTCGGCAGATCCAATAATGACATGCACTTGTCGCAGCGACTCTTGAACGTAGTGATTCTTGATATTGTTGATTAATGCAGTCGTCGAGATTCGCGCATTCTCAAGCATCAGAGAATTGTACCGTACAGGCGCGTCGTTGACGTTGCCAATCGACATGGTGAGAACGTTGACAGCGAACATGAATGGGTTGGATGTGCTCATGGTGTCTTCGGCGTTGATGCGCTCCGTTCGCACAAAAGACAAATCGATCTGCATAGGCTGAAGATGGAGAAGCTCAAAGTAGACGTCCTGACCAGACTGCTCCTGCTTTGGCTCGGGTATGCTGAGGTTTTCATCCCACAGCTTACCCTGTTTTTCTTCAGTCCATGACGCTCCGGGTATGTTTGCAAAGTCGATCATGGCGAAAATAAAGTCTTCGTCGATTTCAACCGTCATCTGCTGCAGCAAAAACGTAAAGTACTTGATGTAGAGCACGCCGTAAGAGTCGTCTTTGACCTTGGTGATAGTAGTCTGGAAAATGGGATGCGCCTCCATCTCCTTTCCAGTCTTGGGAACGACGCTGGGGTAGAAGATGATGGGGAAGATACCACCGTAGAGTTGGTTGTCGATCTGGATCCACTTGATCTGCATATTGATCATCTGGTAGAGAGGCGAATCGGAGTACTTGAACTCGATATCGCGCAGTGTAACGTACACCAGCTCCTTCAAGTGACGATTGACAAGGGAGATACCAATGCCGGCAAGTCGCAGCTGTGCTTTGAAGGTGACGTCGGTATCCATGTCCTTGACTTCGAAGCCCGTCATCGTCGAAGATGCTGTGGTAGACTTTTGCTTGTACATGCTCTTAGATGGCTTGTAGTTGGCGATCTCAAGAGTCTGCGTTGGACCCGCTGCGACAACATTGAGGTCAATAACCTTCATACCACCTTGCTCCGGGCCAGGTGGGATCTTGAATGGAATGAGTGGCCCGATTTCAGCAAGCTTGACATGTCGCTCCCGACCATTGGCGCTGATGACGATTTCTTTATTCTTCGCGGCCGGGAAGTCCCACGCATACGGCATAATGCTCCTAGGTGGCAGCCGGTACCTAATCGGTCGGAAGCCGGAGCCGCGGTCATCTTCGTCTTCGTCCAGGTTAGGGTTTGCTTGCCAGTACAAGAATTCCTGGTCGCTCATGTTCTTGAACGAGAACGGCCAATGCTTATTCTCAACACTGATGTGGCAGAAGATAGTTGCTGCCTCCATCAAGATATCGACGCGGATAAGCTTTTGGCGTTGACCAGCCTTGGATAGCTTGACGTGCACATTGCCCACGTTCGAAATGTTGAACGGAGAGGACCATTGGTTGTTGATACCAGGGTAGCAGAGTGATAATTGCGGTGCGCCACCTTGTCGCAGCCATCGCAGGGGGAACAGCTCGCCATCCTTGACAGTCATCCAGTCAGACTGCCCGGGTTCGCGAATGAGCAACTCTTCCTTCAGCTTGTTGTTGACGATGAATCGCGGCGCGATGGAAACTGTCTTGGTCAAGTTGTACTTGCCCTCACCCTCCGAAACTGATACACCCAGGTGCATGTCAGAGCGTGCCTTCATTGACGGCAAAGCCACAGTGTATGTGCTGCCAATCGCATCGAAACTCTGAGGCTTGCTCCAATTGGAATCTCCAACCTTGATCAAAGCGCGATTCTTCTTGTTCTCTGTAGGGTAAGAGAACATGAACGGTAATGCCTTGCCAGCATCCTGCTGATTGTCCGTGACAACGCCTTTTCCGGCAGTGGCTCGGCCCTGGCCCATGAGCTGCTGTGCCCGAACATCCAGCTGAAGCCCGGTACGGTTGAGAATAATGTACGGACTGTATATCGCTACTTTGAAAGCACCACCGCCGTCGGGGAAGTTGCTACACTTTGTTAGTATTTCTCAGATACGGACCGATAGTTAGACCTACTAAAAGTGCATGTTGAGGTGCAGTGTCGTGTCATTGTTGTCCTTCACTTCTAGCACCTTCTCCCTCCTGAAGCTCTCTCGGTCAGTGGAATTGATGATGCCAAACTTGCTCGGCTTGAAGGATCCATCCTGCATTTCCACGCTAATGAGTAGGAGATGCGAGAGCTCCACAACGTGGACAGGGCTGATGCCGCCTTTCCTGAGGAAATTGGTCCAATCCTTCTTTGTATTGCTGTCGTAGATCCTATACTTGAAGTCGTACGGGAGAAGGTTGTGGACTTCGACAGGCGCTTGCAAGCGGAGCCGCATGTAGGGGTAGATGCCAGTCAAAGGATCCTTCTTGTCGTACGCTGCATGTAGCTGGAAGTAGAATGGTGGTGACTGGTCGTCCTGCTCCCCACGGCAGGTAATAGTCCTGGTGGGACGCTTTAAGAGGTCCTTCCAGAACAAGCGCTCGTTAGACCATTCGTAACCGAAACCTTGGTCTGGACGGATGACAATTGAGTGCATGTGGCAAGCGCCAACGGGTGCTGGCCTGGCATCCCCAGGAGCGATCTTGTCGATCTTGAGAAGATGACCATCTTCTGGACTGAACATACCGAGCTCGATCGGAATTTGGGTGTTGTTTTCTACCAACAGTGGGGAGCGGATGGTGATGTTCTTGATGTTGTCAGAACCAAGCTTTACATCGATGAGCAGGCGATGCTGAATGCGGTCCTGCTTTGGCTTGAGGTTGTACAAGAATTCGCCCTCGCGATGTACGGGTACGCGCGTGAGGCTGTCGAAGCCGCTGCCTTCCAACTTGATTCCCAGCATGCCGGTGGCGCCATCTGTAGAAAGTGACTCTCTGGCTGACATGGGATCTTCGAATCGCCATGGCTGCTCTTCGCCGTCTTCGAGTCTGGCAGCGAAGCCTTCCTCTTCTTTGCCCTCAGCCCAGACATCAACACTGAACCCAGTGTAATTGCGTACGCGATACGGAGCGTCGCTACCTCTAGGCTTGGACAGAATATCCTCGTCACTAGTGAGAAAGTCGAATGACTTGGAGCCTAGCGCAATTGTTGCAGCTGTTACTGTGAGCTCCATCGACTTACGAGAGTAGATATCGACAGCCAGTTTGTCAGGGTCCTGATCTTTGGACATATGGAAACCAACACTCCACGGCTCAATCAATGGCTCCCATGCAGACTTGGAAAAGTTGTACACGTTGACCAATGTGTCAAGCGAGGTATCGGCAACCATTGGCCCTGACCAGTCTCGCACGTCGACACCAAACTTCTTCACGCGCCAATCAAGCATGGGCATTTCGTGCACGTCACCAATAAGTACGACGCGTATGCCTTCGATGCTGATGTGAAGCTCCTCTCGCTTAAGTACAGTCGAAGGAGGGGGCGCCTGCTGCTGCACGGCCTGTTGAGTTGATCGCTTCGTGGTTGCCAGCGACTTTGTACGAGGCTTGTGAGTAGAGGCTTTACCGGCATGAGAAGTTCCTTTCTTTGAAGGTGTCCCTGCCTTCAGCTGCTGGGCCTCCGGAGAAGGAATGCCCTTCTCGGCAGGTGCTGCCATAGCGGAGGCCCGGTTAACGATCTGCATGGCCAACAAGATATCGCGGAGTGATAAGCGGAGTACAAGAGGCTCGATGTCGACGGTAATGCTCATTACAGAAGATTTTGAACCCTGGTTCCGAATGTCCAAAGCCGTTTGAATGCTGAAGTCGTCAAGAATGCGCATGCGATTAGTCTCGAACCTGTCCATGCGACAAAGGAACATGCCGACCTTGTCGACCTGTAGCGTCATTGCCCGTTGTTTTGATACGAGTACTTGCTTTGTGCCGAGCACGATAGCCTCCGAGCTGGCCATTGCAGGGTTGGCGATGAGAACAACCTGCGCATCTACCAAGTTGACACGGAATGATATGTTCATACCATTATCCGTGGACTCTTCGGGTGCGGGAAGTTGTTCCATCTGTCTCGACCCATCAGGTGACATTATTTCGTCATCACTGTCGGTTTCATCAAGCTCAGTATCTTCCTCGATGACCAAAGGCTCATCTGTAGCAAGGCCTGCGTTGGCAAATGCTTGAAGAGCAAACAGATAATCGAGGGCCAAGATGATTCTTGGGCTGTCGATAGTAAGGAGAGCAATCATATTGCGCTCTTGACCACCCGAAATTGACACACTGGCCATGAATTGCTGCTTGACGTCATTGTTAATGAGCGACATGATCTTCCGGAATTTGTTCGTCCCTTGGGTGCGACTATCTCGGATAGTGAACGACTGCACAACCAACTCGGCTTCCATCGCGCCATCGCTGATCATGCGCACCTTGACGTTGGTGTCATTGAGCGAGAACTTGGAAAGACTAGCCGCCTCTACATCACCAACAGGCTCACCATCTGTAGATTTGACGAGCTCCAAACCAATAGTGCCAACTTTGAAAACAAAGTCCAGCTTGGTCCACTTGCCATCATCAGTGTGTAGCTCAGGGCCCTGCGAGCTGACAATATCCTTCGACGACGGTTCCGGAGTGTCCTTGTCTGTCAAGCGACGCGCGGGCTCCGTTGTCTCGTTTGGTAGCTCGGCCTGCACGTCTTCGTCGATGGCGTCCGGCTCTGTGGCAAACGCTGCAGGAATAGACCGCGACAACTCTAATGCAAACTTCATTTGATCTGGCGTAAGCTGCAGGTTGATATCCGACATGTTGCCGTCAATTTCGATGTCTGGTCGCTGTTGTCCGGGTTTGTGCTCGACCATGGTAATGTTGAAGTCGAGATCGACCTTGTCAATCAACTGGAGTTGCTCGGAGCGGTCTTCGTCATAATGCAGCTTTGAGGTGAGCTTGATGTTCCTGATACCGGCTGTGATCTTGTTCGCAGTCTCCGCGCTTTCAGAGTCATCAAGGGGAACGAAACTGTTCTTCGCATAGATCTCTCCCAGATTTGCAGTCAATGTGTCCCGATCTGGTTTATCGGATACTACCATGCGCGGGAAGACAACAATAGGAGTACTGATGGTGATGTCGAAATGGAACTTGTTCGCTCGTTGCTGGATCTGCGTTGCTTGGTTTGCCGCAGCCTGACGGGCAGCATTGAAGATAGCTTGCATTTTGCCGAACTTGACAGCGAATTCCATGATCTTCCGGAAGGGCTCTGTGAGAAAGTTGATCTTGATAGACCCCGTCTTCAATGCTACAGCCATGTCATATCCTGGATAGCTCTTCGACTCAGAATCAAAGGTCTCGTAGCTGAAGTCAGCCAAGTTCTTGCCCTCAATAGTTACTAGCTGGCGGAGTGAAGACTCCTCCGAGACGCCTTGGTTGATGTCGTCGATCAATGATAGGTTTCCAAGTCGACCGCCAATGCGCATAGTTTTGCCACTGAGGAAAATGCCAACATCGCCGGAACTCAAACTCAGAGTAGCAAGCCTTATACCGTCATTGTTCAGAACTACAGCAATGCGCTTAAGCTCTGCTCGGATGCGTATCTTGTCGGGCTCTGCCTGGGTCTGGCTAACAACAGGCTGTTCTTCTTCCTTGTCCGTTATCTGCGCTTGTTGATTTTGGGGCGGACCGGGGGTTGTGAAAGTATCGAGGACGAAGTCCAGGAGAGTCAGCAGCGTCCGTCTTGTTACAATCAGGTTGATTGTCGAAACTGCGACATCCAAGTTTGTGGCGATGCCTTCGTACTTGGATTGGAAGTCTGGAGATTCCTTGTTCACCTTCACAAACTTGAGCGAGAACAGATCTTTCTGCTCATCCGCTGATACGTCTTCCGACGAAATGATGTTCTTGAACTCAGTAAGGGTAGACTCTTCGACGTGATCTTCGACGGCAAGACTCTTGAGGCGAACATCAGCGGCCATCTCGAAAGCCGCTTGGTAGAAGTCCAGATCGAAGCTTTCCGCAATCAGCTCAACCAAGAGCTGATCCGACTTTTTGCCTTCTGGATCAGCTCTGTACAGAGAGCCCTGAAGCTTGTCTACTGTGAACTTGAACTCAAAGTTGCGTTGATGTAGATGGGTCTGTTGCTTCCCAGATTTGGCTTGTGGAGCGTCCGAAAACTTATCGTCTGTATCGCTTTGGCTATCTTCCTCCATGACAAGCTCATGTTCTTGCGAGGCAAATTTGAATGACTTTGATCGCGGCCGCCCGAGAGCATCTGTGTCGGTCTGAGCGTCGGTTGGGGGCTTCAGATTTGATGGGCCCTTTGCTCCATCGGTCACTGGCTTGCTGGGCTGGTCGTCACCGAACTTGGGTACGGCCACATCGATCAGTCTCATCAAGTTCTTGTATTTTGAATCAGATACAGATGCATGGAGAACAGGGAGATTTCCAGACACGCGGAACTTTGTCAAATCGGATGCCTTTGGAACGATGCATATCTCAATCTTAAAGTCCATGTTAATCCGGTCGACGATGTGGTAGTTCTTCAAGCTCGAGTCTTCTTCAAGCTGCGCGCGAGTTTCCTCGATGGATGGTCCTATGAGCACCTGGGTGGAATGAAGCTTCAAATTGAACTTGTCGTACATCAGATTCTCCAATCTGCGGAAGTCCTCATCGGTGTATTGCTGGTTTTGCTTCGACTGGATGTCGCGCAAGGTGTCCTTGTCGACGAGTTCGCTCGTTACGCTCACATGACCGGCATCAAGAATGAGACAGTTACTTGACTTCTTTGTGACTGAGTCGGGGACGATGATAAGAGGTGCCTGTAGATCCAGCTGCGCATTGATTGTCTTGTGTTCGGTGAGCGCAAATTCCAAGCCTGCGCGAGTCTGTTGTCGAATGCCTTCGACAGTCGCTCCAGCAGTCTCCATGAGCGCACCAATAGACTCCATGTGTCTCTCAGGAGGCTTGAAGAACTTGGCCACCTCTACGACGAACGTCGGATTGTATACGAATTCCATACTACGCAACTTCATAGTCAGGTTCGTGTCGGCAGCTCCATCGAGTGGGTTGTTCTCAAAAGTGAGGAAGAAGAAGGGGTCTTCCTTCACTTCGTCATCATCGTCACCATCCGCATCCTTTGGCGACTCGTCGTCATCGAGCTCTTCGATCCGCTTGTCGTCTGGAACTGGTGGTGCATCCTTAACAGTGATGATTTGGGGGAACAGACTGCCCTCTGTAGTGCCATCGTACAGACGCATGCCTTCAAGGGCAACTTTGACAAACATGGAGTCTGTGCGCTGCAAGAACTGAGTGCTGAATGAGTCAAAGAGAAGGCGGAGTATTTCGTTTGATTTGCCGTGCGGGTCGCGCTTGAGCGTGAAGCTACCTGTTCGCAGGCTCATGTTGACTTCTAGCTTGACATATTCGCGTGGCATATCCACTGACTCCGTGATGGCCTTCTTCTCGTCCCAGTCAATTGCATTGTATAGCTCCTTTCGTTGCTGTTCGTTCATCTGAGTGTTGTCGTCCTGTTGCTCTTCCTGCTTACTTCCCCAGACCCAAGAAGTCCAAGTCTGCTTCGGCGGCGGCTTCTTGACTCCAACGTTCTCTTTGCGCAACTGATTTCGAGCCAGCGAACGCCAGAAACGGAGATCTTCGTACTTCAGCTTTCGTTCCAGCTTGTCCAAGTCTTCAGCCTCAGTAGCATCAAGTTTTTCCTCACGCTTCTTCTTCTTGAAGAGCTCAATGTACCGTATTCGGTCATCGCGCCGCTCCTTGAAGTAGTCCCAGCTCCATTGCCGGTTTCTCTCATGGATCTTGTCGAGCACAGCCTTGGTTGCGAACCGAAGCCAGCCTGCTGGATCTTCTTTGGGGGAAGACTTGGGTTGCAATCTCTTGTACTCTTGGTGGCGGATGAAGTAATGGAATAGGTCGACTAACATGAGGGCATCGCGATATTGATCTTCGTCGATGATGAAACCGAGCTCGTCGAACAGAAGTCTAGCTTTCATTTTCGGTCGGTCTGGTTTACCGGTCTTGTCTATTTCCAGCCCGGCGCGTCCACTGATGGGCTTGAGGATGAATTGATGGCCGTCCAAGTCTGGATTGTCGCCTCTTGCAATCATACTTCGGGCCTGCTCAATGAAGTCTTCCCGGTCAATCTGCTGCTCATCGCTGCTCTGGCTGCCCTTGCCAGTGCCAATGAGTTGAGCATCTGTATCCCAGTATACAGCTAATGAGCCAAGTGTTGCCAGCTTGTGTGTCGATGTCGAGGTGCCCTGGATGAAGGTGGGCTTCCAGTTCTCGTCAGTGCTGATAGCGCTGAAGTCGGCAAGGGTGACACCGAGAGCGAAGGGGTGCCCAGGGTCTGCTATTGAGTCTTCGTATCGAATGTGGATGTTCTTGACTGTGACTTGAACGTTGTCGACAATTGCTGTGATCAAACTAGCTGTAAAGCTCTGGTTCTTCTGTTGTTCTTCCGCACTCATGCCTTCAGTGTTGCGCTCCTTCAGCAACTCTGCACTATCGAGCTTCTCCATCTTGACAGCGTGCGCACGCTTGTCCTCTTCTTCTGCGTCGTAGTCCGCATCTTCCTTTGGCGCTGCCAGCAGGAAGACATCTTCAATGTTGACCTTCAGCGGCTTACCGCGGAGGTTTGACCAGGGTATCGATAATGTGAGTGAGCCGAGATGACCCTCGATAACGTTGAGCGGGAGGCGTAGCTGGTCGAGAGCTTCGCGACGAAGTTCGAGATCTCGTAGTACGACGTCACCGGACCAGATGCCGACATTGAGCTGCTTTGGATCGAAGTTCTGGACATACATGCCCAAGAACCGATTTAGCAGCGTCGACACGAGTCCCTCGAGCATGGTGGCGGCGGTAGACCGTTACCCAGGCGGGGGTGTCCAGGGGTGGTAGGTGGGTAGGAATACGGGGTATAGCGGCGTCGGAGAGGGATCGTTATATCGTAGAATTGTGTGGAGTCATAGGGAACGTTCGTCAATGTGCAGGGACACTGCAATTGGAGGAAGGTGTCGTAGGTGGTAAACACAAGGTGGGGCGAATTAGGGCACACGTTGGGCTTCTGTGCTGCTTCGAGTATTACCGAGATGGGTGTTGTAGAGGGGCGGTGGGGAGATGGCAGGATATATACAGGCCGCTCGATGACAGCAGGTAAGCAGGCCGTGTTGGACACAGACCAGGAAACAACACAACGCACTGAACGCGTAAGGGGAGTTGTGATCTTCAAGGCAGCTGCACTTTCGTGCAAGTGCGATGCATGACGTAGCAGTTAGTCTTCCCGCTCACGTGTGCGGGCCGTCTGTCTTCTCATTCGCCGGAGGTTTGCTACTCCATTTCGCGTTTCCTGAATTTCTTCCCGCGCAACCGCCCCCGCGTCTCGCGTATAGGGACCCTGAACAAAAGAAAGTGTGACATGCATGCCGTCTGAATTTAGTCCAATTCGAAATTTGATTATCGTCTGAAGCATTGCGCGCGCAGTCTCTCCAGCAAAGTTTTCTTCCCACACACGTCTATCATGGCCTGGTGGCCCTTCTCAAGCTCAGGCGCAGACGTCGCGGCGAAGCAACAATCCCAAAGCATATCCTCAGCAGCGCCAGTCCAAAAGCCCAGTGATGCGCCTACATCGGTAACAGGGCAACCGCCATCCTCTGCGCCACACGATCCCGACTTCTACGCCGCACACCCACACCTCGCGCCTCCCTCCTTCTCCTCAAATACCGTTTCATCGTCAACGTCGCAAGCCGCACCCGCAGATGCCTCTACTACGGAAGAATTCGACCCATCACTCCCACGTACAATGTCATGCCGCGCCGCCTTCGACTCGGCCTTTTACTGTAGTTCGCTCGGCGGCCACTTCAACGACATATATCGCTATGGACAACTACGGTCTTGCTCCGAACATTGGAATGACTTTTGGTTCTGCATGCGCACAAAGAACAGCTATAGTGGGCAGGATGTCAAAGAGAGGATGATACAGGATCGCTATCGGGAGAAAGAGAATACTTTGAAGAGCGGACCGAACAGCGAGCACGTCTGGAGGAAGAGAGGTCCAGGTGAGGAAGTCAAGGGAGCCTTCAGTAAGGCGGCTGAGGAGTAAATACGACGGAGTAGGATATACGTGTACGATAGCTACCTGTACAACATGATAATGCGTTATGTGAGACATGAGGCGTTAAGATTCAATACACATTTTCGGCACACCTAGAAGGTATTCACATCCTCTGATTTGCAGAAGAGCAAGCCCTTCATATGCATGTATCCAACAGGCATACATATCATACCGCGCACCAAGGACACAACCCCTCCTCTGTAGTCGTCAGAACATCACGAAGAAAAGAAAAACAAGTAATTTGAAGTATCATCTCGATTCTCTACAAAGGATAGAAGTCCCCATTATTAGAGTACATGCTAATCCACCGAACTTTTCCTCCCAATCGTTGATCGTTAATCATCCTATGCATTGAGAAAAACCATGAAAAGGGCTCATTGGCCTCGAACTCCGTGAACTACCACCCAGGAAAAAGTCTATGCTTGAACATGCACAAGGAAAGAAGACGAAGAAGAAGGCAAGAAGCGATCTGCTTAGTCGACCTCCTCGACAGTGGGGCCGTCGTCGCCGCCGGCGCCACCAGGAGCACCGCCGGGCATGCCGCCACCGGGCATACCACCGGGCATGCCACCCTCACCGCCGGCTCCGTAGAACTTCATCATGATGGGGTTGGCGATACCCTCAAGCTCCTTCTGCTGAGACTCGTACTCGTCCTTGGTGGCGGTCTGGTTGTCGTCCAACCACGCAACGGTCTTGTCGATCTCGGCCTTGAGCTTCTCCTTGTCGCCGGCATCGAGCTTCTCGTCGACCTTGGAGTCGCTGAGGGTGTTGCGGAGTGAGTAGGCGTAGGACTCAAGGGCGTTCTTGGCCGCGATACGGGCAGCCTCAGCCTCATCCTCAGCCTTGTACTTCTCAGCCTCGGCCAACATGCGCTCAATCTCCTCCTTGGACAGACGGCCCTTGTCGTTGGTGATGACAATCTTGTTGGTCTTTCCGGTACCCTTCTCAAGAGCAGAGACGTTGATGATACCGTTGGCGTCGACGTCGAAGGTGACCTCGATCTGAGGAACACCACGGGGCGCAGGCGGGATACCGGTAAGCTCGAACTTGCCGAGAAGGTTGTTGTCCTTTGTACGGGCACGCTCACCCTCGTATACCTGGATGAGCACACCGGGCTGGTTGTCGCTGAAGGTGGAGAAGACCTCGGACTTCTTGGTGGGGATGGTGGTGTTGCGCTTGATGAGGGCAGTCATGACACCACCAGCAGTCTCGATACCGATGGACAGCGGCGCGACGTCGAGGAGCAAGATCTCGGAGGTGGACTTGGATGATGTGTCACCGGACAAGATAGCGGCCTGGACGGCGGCACCGTAGGCAACAGCCTCGTCGGGGTTGATGGACTTGTTGGGCTCCTTGCCGTTGAAGAAGTCGGAGACCATCTTCTGGACCTTGGGGATACGGGTGGATCCACCGACCAAGACAATCTCGTGGACGGAGGACTTGTCGATCTTGGCGTCGCGGAGGACACGCTCAACAGGCTCCATGGTGGAGCGGAAGAGGTCCTGGCAGAGCTCTTCGAAACGAGCACGGGTGATGGAGGTGTAGAAGTCGATACCTTCGTAGAGAGAGCTGTATGCGGTTAGTTATGCGTCCATGTATTCGCCAAAGGGTAGGAATATACTCACTCAATCTCGATCGAAGTCTGAGCTGAAGAAGACAGGGTGCGCTTGGCCCGCTCGCAGGCGGTTCGGAGACGTCGCAGAGCGCGGGCGTTGGACGTCAAATCTTTTTTATGTTTACGTTTAAATTCGTTAGTGAAGTGGTTGACAAGACGGTTGTCAAAGTCTTCACCACCCAAGTGGGTGTCTCCAGCAGTGGACTTGACTTCGAAGATACCCTCCTCAATGGTCAAGAGGGACACATCGAAAGTACCACCACCCAAGTCGAAGATGAGGACGTTACGCTCACCCTCGGTCTTCTTGTCAAGACCGTATGCGATGGCTGCTGCGGTGGGTTCGTTGATGATACGGAGGACGTTGAGGCCGGCAATGAGTCCAGCATCCTTGGTAGCTTGACGTTGTGAGTCGTTGAAGTAGGCAGGTACAGTTACGACAGCGTTGTTGACAGTGCCACCAAGGTAGGATTCGGCAGTCTCCCTCATCTTGGTCAGGACCATGGATGAGATCTCCTCAGGTGTGAAGACCTTCTCCTCGCCCTTGAACTCGACCTGGATGACAGGCTTGCCACCCTTGTCGATGACCTTGAAGGGGAAGTGCTTCATGTCGGCCTGAACCTCAGCATCGGCGAACTTGCGACCAATGAGGCGCTTGGCGTCGAAGACGGTATTGACAGGGTTCATGGCGACTTGGTTCTTCGCTGAGTCACCGATGAGGCGCTCTGAGTCTGTGAAGGCGACGAATGAAGGAGTTGTTCGGTTTCCCTGGTCGTTGGCGATAATCTCGATGCGGTCATCGCGAAAGATGCCGACACACGAGTATGTCGTACCAAGATCGATACCGATAGCGGGCTATATCAATGTTAGTAAAGTAAAAGTACATATCGGACATGGAAACTTACAGCCATGCTTGCTATGGGTCTGTGTAGTGGGGTGTCAAAAGGAAAAGTTGCAGTATGCTCACAAGTCGGTGACTTATATGAGAGTGAGTCTTTAGAATGTGATTTGTGTTGTGAAGTGAAGAGACAGTAGCCAAATGCGCGGGCGGAGGAGTTTTTGTATCGCTTGGGGAGGTATTGTTTCTACAGAATTCCAGCACTTTCGACGTGCCAAGCCTCCAACCAGAACCTTCCCGCAAGCTCGCGCAAGCTCTGCGGCCCACTAGAAACATCTGCCTTGCGCCTTGTACTGAGTAATTTGGACCCACATTCACTGCGCTGTACCCTACCCAGCTTGCGCCCAACGCTCCTGCCTGCCAGGCCGCGAAGCTTCTTGCCATTTCTTTCTTTCGCCGCTTGCGGAGGGCATGGTCTTGCCGTGCTATGACGCCAACCTCACCCCACCATGCCCTCAAACAGGGGGCATAAGCGAGTTGCCCCGCCATGAGCGGCCCAGATGTCATTGCAGATTGTGTACGCGACGCTTCATGCAGTTTCGACGTTCGGAAGTCTCTTCCACCATCGCCATCGAGTATCGCGGAGAGACAAGCGTGGTAATGTGCCAACTGGCACTTTGTTTGGCGAACACCGTCCCCATTGAAGCGGAATGTTGACGTTTGATGTGTATTGCGACGCAAGAAGTTTAGATCTACGTAGTTAATGTTTACATACTTAGCAGTAAGCTACTTACGCTTCAGTTAATTACGTATATTTCTACTATATTCTAATCGCTCGCGACTGTAATATGCGAGTGAATGAAAATGTACTCTCTTTATGTCTTCACCCGCCCGTACACGGCGGCATTGGTAGATAGTCGTGATAATAAAAGTATATAAAACGCGGCGAAAGGGCTAACTAGCAGGCAGATGCCAGTACAAATAATGTGCCACCCGAAGGCTCTTCCTGTGCTACAACGCCCAGTCAAACAAACCTGTATCGTCTTCGCTGTCTTCAACGATGGAGATCTATTCTCCGCAAACTCCATTACACCCAACACCGAAGTGGTACCATGGTACAGTCGACCCGAGGCGACCCCCCCCCCCCCCAAAACTACCGCATCCAAAAGTCCTCAAATGATTACATCCACGCAGTAAATTTGCGATCGAAGAGAACCCCTAGTCCAACGCCGAAGAGGAGAATTCCAGCGAACAACTGTGAAGACAGCAAACACGATACAGATCTATCCTTAGCAAACTTTATTACACCCAACGCCGAAGAGGAGAGTTCTAGTAAATACTAAATCCTATGAAGACAGCGAACACAATATAGATCTATTCTTAGTAGATTTCATTACACCCAACGCCAAAGAGGAGAGTTCCGGCGAACACCAAATCCTGTGATCGGTGTCTTCACAGGAGTTGGCGAGATCTTGCGCTTCTTCGGCTTCTGTATCGTGTTCGCTGTCTTTACAGGATTTAGCGAGACCTTGCGCTTCTTTAGCGTTAGGTGTAATGAAATCTACTAAGAGTAGATCTATATCGCGTTCGCTGTCTTTATAGGATTTAGCAAGATCTCGCCGTTTAGCAGCAGCGGCGGCACCAGCATCCTGAATTCTTATCCATTCGAGCTGATATAGGCTCGGGTTGTTGTTAGTGTAGTCATGGCCTTAGAAGCTAGTTTTTTTAAAGGCCGTAATACGTCTAAATCTTTACTATTTTTTTTGGTGCTTCGTATAATTTTAGAGTTTACTTAGGGCTAACTAACTTAGATGTTGGAGGATTTTGTAAGGTTAGAAAAGATGACGTGGTTCTGCTGCCGTTCGTACGTATGTGGACCATATCTCGCACCTCCGCTTCTACCTCAATCATAAGAGAGAAGCGGAGGGGCGAGATACGGTCCCCATGCGTACGAACGAAGCACAAGAAAGCGATAGTGAGGATCCCCACTATCGCTTTCTTGTGCTTCGTATGATTTTGGAGGTTGCTTAGGGCTATATGTCTGAGGACACGTCGCCCCTAATAGGCCCGCAGCCCATTAGTATTTCGTTTGTGTACTCATTTAGTACTAGAATCTTTATTATAGACAGAGCCTAGGCTCTAAAAAACTTATATTACGCAAATTAATCGTGATATAGAGGGAGTTGCCTATATTTGTTAAATTACTCTAGATACTTCTTATTATGCTCGCAAAACACACTTAACAATTTTATGTCGGAGGATTCTGCTGCCGCTGCATGTATGATCATGATAGATGCTTGGTGGAACTCTGCGTCGGAGCAGCAGGCATTCTGCCGCGTGTTCTGGATTAGCCAAAACAAGAAGACGTTCATAAGCCGACTTTACGTTAAGAATATAGTAGACGAATACTTTATTTAAATATAAGAGAGAAAAGAAGAAGACATAAATAAATAATATTTATAAGCTAACTTTATATTAAGAATATAGTGTGGTGTAGTAGCTTGTCACGTGTTCGGCGTTAGGTAATCGGCGCTAGGGTTGAGTATTTTAGGACGACTCCGCGTAGAGGAGCTCGACAGTTATCGTACACCATTCTTAATACTACCGTTTATTGTTCGGATACCTTCTTGTTCTCTACTCTCTACCGATTGCGGGTCGGCAGCCTCTCTTCTGACTATTGAGGCTATCCCTCTACCACATTTTTGGTGACCTAACCAGGGGGACACGACGGTCTATCGGTGGAGTAGTAGAGAAACCTCTTTGTTTTACCTGTTTTCGAGGAGAAGTCGGAGGGGCAGAGACCCACGACGAGTTTTCGGGGACCCCATTGAACTCTGAGCGCTTCTCGATAAAGTTTGCCAAGGCGGCGGAACTCTCGGGGAGTCTCTACGGTGTCAGCGGAGCGGTGTGGTAACCTGCAGAAGGACTGCAGAACCGGCACAACGTACAGCCGAATAGGAGTAGGCGAGAGCGTAACGCCCAGTGCTAAGGAGGCACTTTCACCAAGGCGGTGAAGGGACATCGGAAGAGAGGGAAGGAACCTGTCTCAGAGAGGCAATCGGGAGTCCGGAAGCAGCGGATCTGTATTCAGAACAAGAGAAGAGGAATAACGTTTAGTGTCCAAGACACAGTCAGAGCAGGTCTCTTTTATCGAATAATATGCCGTCCGAGACGTCTTCAGCACAGAGCGAGGAGCCTGTGTCAATCCTAATGGCAGAGCCTGGACAACCTGCAGCCCGTGACTCTTATCGTCAGTACCTAGGCAAGCTAGAGCCTCACGATGTGCACGCGCCACGCTTTGATGGAGAGAACATTTCAGAGTTCTTAGACGAGTACGACTTCGAAGCTGATCGAGTGGGCTGGCCAGAGGAGCTTCGGAAGAAGCAGCTACCATACTTCTGCACACAAAAGTATAAGGCGTTTATCCGAAAGTTGCCAAGCTACTATGGGATAGAGAGCTACCAGGAGTACAAGGAGGAGCTTCGAGAGCTGTATGCGGGGCAGGATGAATTTCGGCAGAGAGGTACCCGAGCGTTCATCGAAAACTACGTGAAGGAGGTGCAGCGACGACAACCTGCGGTCCGAATTGTCGAATATTACCAGAACTTTGTGACCTACTTTGCAGCTGCGGAGAGCCGAGGACAAGTCGCAAAGCTTGAGAAAGGACACTTCTTCTTCCGGGGCCTGGCTATAGAGGACATGGAGCGAGTAATGCACCACATGCCGAAGGATGATCGGCCGCGTCTAGACGACGTCACCTCGTTCAAGATTGAGAAGATCTACCAGTTTGTCCGTGAGCACCAAGCGCAAGAGGAGGGGTTGAGTGCCCTATACTCTGACTACAGTTCGACAAGCCGGAGACTAGCCCGCCGCGATGCAGGAGTAGTAGAAGAGTCTATCCCGACATTCAAGAGACCTTCAGAAGCCCCTCGGCAGAGTGTTCCGGGGATCCTTCCAATTGCTGCTCAGCCCGACAAGGCAGCTGCTCCGAAAGTTGATCAGGCTGTGGAGGATCTAATCCAGCGTTTCCAAGGACTGTCGATGACTATAGAACAGTTCAACGAGATGGCTGAGGGCAATATTGGGATCCGAAGACTGTTCGCTAAGCCAGAGAATTACGCAGAGGCCTACAAGCAGCTTGTGCTAAGACCCCACCGGGTAAGCACGGAGATACTAGAACGCAATGACGGGAGCTTCAAGTCAATCTACCCACCAATAGTCAACCCGCAGGCAGGCGTACATTACGCAGGCAACCGAGAGCCGCAGCGTGCTCGCTGCAGGTGCTGTGGCAGAGAAGGGCACATTATCGCGAATTGTCCGGACCAGAACCTTCTGAAGAGTAATCGGTGGTGCCACACCCGGAGCGAGGAGCAACCGAATGGCTGGAAGCAAGTCCGGTACTACTTCGGACCCTACCCGACAGACATCTGGGGCATGTTCCCTGGCGGAGGCATTGCGCCGAAACCCTTTGGGAGTGAGGTTCTCGAGTGGCTACTTCAGTCTTTAAAGGAGCGTTTCAAGGTGACCGATGACCAACTAAAGCGGCCCATGCAAGAAGTTCTCCCAAATTGGTTCGACGCAGCAGGAAGGCCTATTAAGGTTGAAAAGACTGGTAACAGCGGCGAGAGCTACACAGTAGAGTCAAGCGAGGAAGCGGAGCTGATGGCGAGGCAAACGATGGCCCTTCGGTCAGCTGCGCAGTTCCTTGAAACCGTGTCTTGTAGAGTACTGCACCCCGAAGACGACTCGGAAGTCAACGCCATAGATGGGCGCACGAAGGCTGGTCGACTGGCGAAAGAACAGCGGGAGCGTGAAGCTCGCCTTGGTAAGAAGCCAGGCATGCCTCGGATGAAGAGCAGTCGGACCGCGAGCAGCTATGAAGACATGGACGTCGAAGAGGAGCCAGAGGTGCTAAGGCATAGAGCCCAAGTAGAGATCGACGACTCCCAGGTGCCTGAAACTCAGGTTCAACAACGTCTTGACACTCCGATAAGCAACGGGACGCGCGAGAGAGACAGTCGGAGCGCCACAGTGGACCACGATGTTATACCTGCACCAGCGCCTGTTCCGAAAGCCTCTCGAGCCTTCGCACCTGTGACCATACCGACGACCGAAGACCTTGCGGCGATGGCCCAGAACACAGCACCGACGGTACTTGCAAAGGCAATGTTAAACCAGGAAGTCCGCGGGATCCGGCAGCTCGATTTATTAGCGTCTCCCGAAGTAGCTGCGGCAGTGACCAAAGCACTCGAGGAAGCGCGTAGGCCGCGTGTGCACTTTCAGGTTGACGAAACGCGCTCAGGAGAGACAATGGAGATCCAACAAGCTAATAATAATAAATCTGATGACGAAAAAGCTGATAGTGATGAAGATGGTTCGATAGAAGAGGCAGTCCAGCGATTATATGACTGGGGTTCTGGAGATACTTGTGTGGTGGAGACTGAGAGCTCTCAACCGGAGGTTATTACGAAAGGTATTCTGACGCAGCTGTGTCCGAAGATGGATCGCAGCCGAAAAATTGACCGAGTGGGAGTCGGGGAAGCCAATGAGCTCCACGATTTCCAAAACTACGAGATTAGTGACGAGGAAGACGGCTACGTCGAAGCGCAATCGAGAATGCCCTCCGAAGCGCGACTAAAGGGCGAGTTACAGCAGCAGCGGTATTCGGTGAAAGGACAGTTGCCGACATGCTGGGTGTCTCTCCACGGTGGTATGGGTCGAGCGCTTATTGACACGGGCTCGCAGCTGAACGTTATGCGGCTTTCGACAGCGAGAGCGCTGAATGTCTACATTACTGAGCTAGATCAGTCGGGTCTGCCTCCCGAATTGCAGCAGGGCATGATAACCGCCGATGGAGGGATGGACCCCTTTGTAGGCACAGCTTATTCGGTTCCAATTGCAGTTGGAGGGATTATAGTGCCAACGCACTTTCGGATTGTGAGACGTTTACGGAGAGCAATTCTTCTTGGGACACCATGGTGCGCAACGGCGCGTCTCCAGATACAGTTCGACACTGTTGGTCGGACACTTTGCTACATCAAGTCGATGGACGGTCGGCGTGAAGTTTCTTTTATAGGGTGTGACCCAGCGCCTACAGCCAACGCGGCGTCGATTGAGCATCAGGGAAAAGGATAGCGAGCGCGCTTACTGGGGAAGTGTGCTCGGCGGAGGAGTATTGCCCAGAACTTATACCGAGTGACATGCGGGTAGCGCGCTGGTTTGCGCGCATGCCTGAGTACAGATGGTTGTTCGGGGAAGAGCTGGACCGCCGGGAAGGGGGAAAGTCGGGGCAGGTGTTGTCAGCGGAGGAGCAGAGGTCCTTCGAGGAGATAGTAAGGCAGCAGTTTCGTCTGTCGCGTGACAGGTTATCGGGGGAAGTAAATACCCTGTACAAGAGAGTCGCCGATAAAGTAAAGCCTGTGGACATACCGAGAGAAGACGCACCGATGGATCTCGGGCGTAAGGACTGGAAGGAGCGCGCAATAGCTCGTCAAGCCGCTCGAATAGCACTCAGAGGACCGGACATTAGCCCATTTGATCACCTTTTCTATGTCCGTACAGCAACGTT